ACGGTCGCACGCGAAACGCCCGGCATTCCTGGAGGAACTGCGGTGCGACCAGACCGCCCGCCTCAAAGCAGGCAGCCAGGCGGCTGCCAGGGACGCCGCTATAGCAGCAGTATTTCTTTTCGGCGTCCGGAGGTGCTCCAAGACTCTCGCGCTCCAGCGTCGAGACATCTCTTTGCACGAACATGTCGCGACTGTTTTCGTAGCCCGCCAAAAGAACGACCCGCTCGGGCAAGGCATGGTGTGCCACATCCCAAGGATGGTCGACATCCCTAGCCTATGCCCTTGCCACCTCCTGCGGGAATGGTTGGCACAGCGGGACTCGCGCTGGGGGTCAGACCCAGATGCTCCCGTGTTTTGCACAACTCATTCGGCAGAGCCTCGCCGTATGAATTGCGATTCTTTCTGCCGTAATATCACGCAGTTCTTTCAGACTGCTGCAGTGGGAACGCACTCCCTGCGCAAAGGTGGTGCCCACTGGTACAAGACAGCGTGCTCCTTGCTGGAAGAATTAGTGCAGGCTCAGGGCGGCTGGTCAGCCCCAGAAATCATGCGAGCCTTTTTACGCCCGTTCCTCATATTCAGAACGGTGCGATCAGCTGCTACGCGCCGTGTCTACAGCTTCGAGTGGCATGGCGGTCCCAGCCGTCACTCATCGCCACGCGCGCGTTTCACCAATGCCTCCGTGGAGGCGCCTCACTGGGAACTTGTAAAAACTCGCCTCCTCGGGGCTGCGCCTGGCCAGTGCTCTGGGCGACCGTTCCTGGGTCACCGCGGACCTGGCCAGGCCGGCCTGCAGCTCCAGGCACCCCACAAGAGGCATATGTTGCCAGCACGAGAGAAGCCGCCTTGGACTTAGAGGCAAAATAGTTCCTTCCCGACTCCGACCCCCAGCCACGGGGGCTGCGAGTAAGCAGAAGGCGTCCTTTCTTAGGGGGTTGTGCACTCGGGGAAAGGGGCTTCTGCGGGGTCGCAGGTCTTGGTTCGTCTTCCTCGTTCGTTTCCTCGTGCGGTTTGCTGGATTCGGTTCGCGCGCAGGCGCCCTGTTCCAAGGGTCGGGGTCTAGCGCTCCCACCCCCCACACCCATCTTTTTAACGTGGCACTGGCCGGAGGCCACTACAATCAGAAGGGGCGGGCCATCTCAGAAGGCTCGGAAGGCCTCGGGCCTTCTGAGAAATTTTCTAAGCATTCCCCGGCGAAACAGAGAGACAGGCCTTCTGAGAAAGCCCATCGCGTTGTGAAAAGGCTTGCGCCTTCTCCCCCCCCCTGGGCGCGCCGCCGAACCAGTGAAAAGCGACCCGTCCGCAGGCGGCGCCTCCGTCCCTGAGACACGAACGAAAATTACCCTGCGACGCACCCAACCCACGTGCATCAAGTGGCAAGGAGTAGGCCAACATTGGCAGGAACAACGATAATGTAGGCGATGTGAATTGCTGTGCAAACTACATGGGATGCGCACGCATTGCACGGCTCACAGGACGACGATCGAAAGAACGAGGATTAAAGCCCCAGGCTCGCGTATGACGTCACTCCGCTGGGCCACCCAGCAGCCCTCGAAAGTGGTGACAGTTTCGCAGATCGCAGCCCCCCCAGGGATGGCGAGGTCTAATCTGAATCCGAATATGTCCCCACTCCGCTGGGCCCTCCAGCAGCCCTCGAAAGTGGCGACAATTTCGCAGATCGCAGCTTTTCGGGGATGGCGAAGTCGAGCCTGAGTCTGCCTAGGACCCACTCCGCTGGCCCCCCAGCAGCCATCGAAAGTGGCGACGGTTTCGCAAATCGCAGTCCCCCAGGAATGGCGAGGTCGAATCTGAGTACCCCACTCCGCTGCCCCCCCCAGCAGCCCTCGAAACTGGCGACAATTTCGCAAATCGCAGCCCCCCCCAGCGATGGCGAGGTCTAATCTGAGTCCCCGTGGGGGCTCACTCCGCTGGTCACCCCAGCAGCCCTCGGAAGTGGCGACAATTTCGCAGATCGCAGCCCCCCAGAGATGGCGAGGTCTAATCTGAGTCCCCGTGGGGCCTCACTCCGCTGGGCCCCCCAGCAGCCCTCGAAAGTGGCGACGGTTTCACATCACAGATCGCAGCCCCCCAGGGATGGCGAGATCTAATCTGAGTCCCCGTGGTGCCTCACTCCGCTGGGCCCCCCAGCAGCCCTCGAAAGTGGCGACAGTTTCACAGATCGCAGCCCCCCCAGGGATGGCGAGGTCTAATCGGAGTCCCCGTCCCCGTGGTGCCTCACTCCGCTGGACCCACCAGCAGTCCTCGAAAGTGGCGACAGTTTCACAGATCGCAGCCCCCCCAGATGGCGAGGTCTACTATGAATGGCGACCGTGGCGAGGTCTAATCAGAGTCCGCGTGGTGCCTCACTCCGCTGGACCCACCAGCAGCCCTCGAAAGTGGCGACAGTTTCAGTGGCGAGGTCTAATCGTCCCCGTGGTGCCTCACTCCGCTGGACCCACCAGCAGCCCTCGAAAGTGGCGACAGTTTCACAGATCGCAGC